TGATCTCATAATTTTTTGCAAACTATTATTCATTTTATTGGGTTCTGAGAAGCCTAAATCTTGCTTTCCTCATAAGGGACTTTTGTGGCAAAGTTAGCAGTTGTTCACTCCTGGAAAGATTAGAATCAATTAATCCCTAATCTTTAAATGATGAAACAGAGCTTACTGTACAATTGAACACACATATAGATATTCACAGACACATCACCCACTCAGACATATGCATTCACATGCTACACTCTTTGCATTTTATTAACTTGCTTTCTCCATGAAAGAGTTTCATTGTACAAGAAGCAATAACTATCTTCTCAAAAAGTTCAGTTAAATGAGCTAGTCCTATGAAATTCATTTCACATTTTTGTAGATTAAATATTCAACATAAGGCTACTGAAGCTCCAGTTGTGTTCATGTCCTGAAAAGACAGAGAGATGAAGAGAGAAAAGGTTGAAAGCTCCAGAGCAGAATGGGATAACTTACCACAGCCAACTCACTGCAGCCAATTTGCCATGGCCAACTTGCCACAGCCAGCTCACCACGGCCAGTTCACCACTGGACAACTTGCTGTTGGACAATTTAACAAATCTATTTAATTAATTTTTGCCATTCACATTTAATTCTGTCCTTCCTTTTACATCCTATTCCACAGTTTCTTTGATATTAATGTAACTCTTGTGCAGTGAGTTGGCCATAGCAAATTGGCTGTGGTGAATTGATCATGGTGATTTGGCCGTGGTGAATTGGTGATGGTGAGTTGGCGATGATGAGTTGGCCATGGCGAGTTAGCGATAGTGAGTTGGCTGTGGTGAGTTGGCCATGGTGAGTTGGTCGTGGTGAGTTGGCCATGCTGAGTTCACCATGGTGAGTTAGCCATGGCGAGTTGGCCCCAGCATCTTGACAAAACAAGAAGAAAATGTTTTGTAAGAATCACTTGTTAGCTTGGTATGTTAGATTGATATGTTTTGAAGTTTTTATTGATATCAATTATAAATAGGTTTCTAGCTATAAATTTTGCCCCCACACTTCCTCAAGAGACAGCTTTTATGGAGTGATACAATTAGTGACATGAGGAAGGGAACACTTTTTGCTAGATTCCAGAAAAGATTCCATGTTATAACAAAGCATTATACTATACATCAAGACTGTGTAATACATTTGGTTTGCAGGGGGAAAAGCTCCATATTGTTCTATAGCTAGATAGGAAAGCTGTTTGAACTTGGAAAAAGATGGAGTTGCTTTAAGCCATTGATGACATTGGCTTCATGATCACCTCTGCATGCTCTGAAACACCTTTTTCTTTATCTCTAGTGCACAGCTAGGGGCATTCAGAGCAAAGAGAAAAAATAGAAACCCAATGAAATGAATCAATTATAAATGTAGCTTTTAAAAATGGAAAATCTATGATAAAATTGTTCCAATATGAACAATTTTAAAGCTCTACCTTCTATTGATACCATGATGAAGATTTTTGTATGGAATTATTAAATATTATATACAAACATATTTTTTCAATGTTAAATGCAGCTGTTGATATACTATGGCATCTGATATGATACACATCTTCTCCAGATGACAGGAGAACTTGGATAATTTATGTGTAACTTCTTAGTAATTTATCTATGGCAATAACTATTGGAGACTTTAGATAATAGAAAATTAATTCTATAAATTATTATGGACTATTTGTATTATACTATGTACTCCAGCCATTATCTTACTTGTCCTGATAGTTTGGAAGTGAATCATTAGGAAAGTCATATGAAAGCCTATCCAAGTTCCTCAGCCTTGCCACTCTACTTTATTAATGTTTTATTGATTATGTGCCATCAGGTCAGTGTCAAGTCTTAGATAGATTATATCTATGACCATCTGTCCTTAACCTGGTCCTTCAAATATTCCAAGTCTTTCTTTACCAGTTGCCACTAAGTCCATGCATCTTGGTGCTGGTCATCCTCTTCTTCTCTTTCTACTTTATAGTAGAGTAAAATGTTACCATAAAATATTATAGCAAATTAGTCCTCATTTTATTAATTAAAAGAGCTGAATAATTCTATTGATGTGGAGGAGATTTGACTGTTGCTCTGAATTTGATTTCCCATCCAACTCTTTGCAGAATAAATAAATGTTTATTGTAGATTGGCTAAGAAGTTCAAGAAAGTGGCACTGTGCCATAGATATTTAATTGCTGAGATTGTAATTTGTTGAAAGTCTCTTGATTGTGGCATATAAATAAATAAACAAATACCATAATCAATCATTTATTTAAATCATTACTTTAACAGGAACTGAATTTTTGTTAATCAAGACAGAAATATACACAGGCCCACACACATGCACAGACACACTAGCACACAGAGACACAGATATGCACACCCACACACTTCTACAAACACAAGCAATGAAAACCAGATAGAATTTCACTGTACTCTGAAATGAAACACACAACCTATCTTGCACTAATTGTTTATCTAGTAGCTACTGAGATTCAACTTCTTATATTTATTCCCCCAATTTCTTTATTCAGAGACTGTGTGTACCTTGCAATAAGCAATGTAGCTTCATGAACATATTGAATAATGTTTTTGACTATAACCAGACAGTTGAAAATTCTTCAGAATCTTCTGCTTAGGATCAGTCTATACTCTTAGCAAACTGTATTCTCCAAATGCAGCCTGCTTCACTTGATTTTGTTTGCATGCCTCCAGAGATTGAAGATCCAATTTTACCAATTTCATTTGAGTGTTTTCTGGTTTATTGGAAGCCCTTAAGGGCATGAGAAATACCATTGCTATTACAATATATTTCTGGACAATTGCAGCAGTTGAATGACATAGATCCTATTCAGATACTCCCTTAATTACCACATGCTGGAGGCAGTAATCCATAAAGTATAAGCTCTTAAAATGCTGTTCTACTAGTCATTGGGGATACTGGACAGAGCACAACAGTTATTGAAATTTCTGGCAGGGAGTCACAACTAGGCATATTATCCTGGTTTGCTTCATGTAGTAAATAAAGCAAAAATATTCTTGTTGTCTGTAAATGAGGGTTGCATATTTAGAATAACTATTGATGTTGTAAAATATGAGCAGAGCTATATTCACACTTTGAAATCTTCCCACTTTTCAGTTATGAAGCTTTGGCAATTAAAATGGTATTATGCTGTTGGTGGTGTAGCCAGGTCTATCACCAAAGCTCCAGGAATATGAGACAATTAATCTTAATAGTCCTGTGTAAGATATATAATAATCCTATATAACTAAATCGTCTTATAAAAAACTGGTATGTTTACTCTACTAGTTAAGGCACCAGGTTAGAAAGTGGGAGATTGTGAATTCAAGTCCCATCTTAACCATGAAAGCCAGCAGGATGACCTTGGGCCACTCATTCTCTCTCAGCACATTCTCTCACAGAATTAATGTTGTGAGAAAAGTAGAATGTGTGTAGAATGTGTGTTCATCATTTTGAGATATTTTTAAAAGTAATAAAGGCAGGATACAAACACATAAAAATATAATAATTTTAAATGCATACTTGAATGAATGGTTACCCATTTCTTTTCACTTGACATACTTTTCCAAGATCTGACATCTTCATTAGACATAAAGAAGTGATTGATTGAATAACAGCACAACCCACATTCCCCCATCTTGCCCCATCCTTCCTACTTATAATTGGAGATAAATGGTTGCTTTTATTTATTTTTTAATATATATATTTAAGATTGTAAACTTCCCAGAGTTACCCTGTGGTAAGATGGGCAGCCAATAAAATTTATAAATAAATAAATGATCACATGCTATTTGATAATGCATGATAAATTTACTGAAATGGGGTTATGTTTGCCATTTAGTCTGTTACATTACTGAGTCTTTACATACGTTGGAAGGGAGAAACTATTTTTGTCATATTTGGGGCAAAGATAAATCTCTCTTTTTTTTTTTTATTGAAAGTTTTATAAATTTTACAAAAAGACAAAAACAATACAAAACAAAAAACAACATATACAAAAAAAACCCTAAACATTACATATATATATTAAAAAAAAAAAAAAAAACCCATCCCCCACCCCTCACAAAAACCCTCCCTTCCCCCCCCTGAGCTTCCCAGAGCAGAATATAGGCTTAATTAAAAATTAAGAAATAAAAATAAAAAATTAAATTAAAAGATTTATATTTATATACACACATAAAAAAATATCTATATATATATATATATAAATAAAACTTATAAAAAAGCTATGTGATATTTTTGTATACCCAATCTAAATTGTATAAATTTTATCCATTTGTCCCAAACAGCAAGAAACTTCTCTTGCGTTTGTTGCTTTAAGAAAGCCGAAATCTTTGCCATTTCCGCCAGATAAGCTACTTTAAGAAACCATTCCTGCAATGTAGGCAAAGATTCCTTCTTCCAATATTGTCCTACTAACAGCCTAGCGGCTGTAATCAAATTTAACATCAATACAACCTCCTTTGTATCACAATCTGTAACAATGCCTAACAAAAATAATTGCGGAGTAAATTTTACCCTCCTTCTAAAAATTCTCTGGATATTCCACCATATTTTGATCCAAAATGCTTTTATCTCTCTGCATGACCACCAAATATGATAATAGGAAGCATCCTTATAACCACATCTCCAACATTTGGGTTGCACGTCAGGGTACATAAGAGACATTTTTTGTGGATCAAGGTGCCATCTATAAAACATTTTATAAAAATTCTCCCTAAGGTTCTGTGCTTGTGTAAATTTGACATTTCTCACCCAAATGGTTTCCCAAATATCCAATGAGACTGGGACACCAAAATTCTGCGCCCATCTAATCATACAATCTTTAATTAATTCCGTTTCTGAGTCCATTTCAACTATATAAATCTCTCTTTTTATTATGGTCAAATACAGGTTAGGCTTTTTGTTGCATTTAAACAGTTGTTGAAATCTGATTAACCTAGGATTTTTCAACAATGCTTTTATTATCTCCTTTTCTACAACTTCTTAAGGAGCTTCTACACAGAATTCTAATGTGGTGGAACCAGAAAAACAGGTTGATAATACAGTGAAAATGGCTGGAGTTATAGCTGGTCTTCTGATGTTTGTTATTATACTTTTGGGAGCAATGCTTACAATCAAAAGGAGGTATGTTTCTAAGATCTCTACATTGCCTTGATTTGGGAATATTTATTATTGCTGTTATCTTTTGTTTAAATATTTAGCCTTTATTGGTTCATATTTTATGTTCATTTGGGGGTGCAAAGAGTGAGGCGGTTTAGAAGTTTTTCCTCTTTTCATGGAATTTTAGATACACGGGCCGTGTAACACGGCTAAAGAAAAGGCTCTTTTCTGTATGGGGATTACTTATTCTGATTATTGTTGTGTGGCTGTATGAATGTATATTTTTCTTCAGCCATTTGATGGAATAATGAATTGTGATTTACTTATTACTGGCTTGGTGAGTGTGGGAAACATGTAGAACTTTTTGATATTCATTTACTATGGGGATAAATATATGAATGTTTAAATATATAAAAACCAATTTTAAGTCCTGAATTCTCAATACATTTTGTCATATCCATAGTATAGATTTTTGTTGTTTATAAACTCATTCTTTCTCCCAGAAAAATCTGGGATTTGTAATTCTGCCAATCTGGGAAAGAAAAAGTAATCTATAACAAAATATGTATACATACTATCACTAAATTACACTTCCCAAGATTCTTTGATTGAAGATATAATTACTAAAATATTATTCAATAATAATAATCATAATAATAATAATAATAATAGTAATAATTGGTTTATCCAGGCCAGCTTGTATTACCTGAGCAAGTCATTTCACTTAGCTTCAAAAAGAAAAGTAGGTTCTCACAGGTTGATTATACTTCCACTCCCTCAGATGATCAATGGTGTACAGATAGGTACACAATTTTATTAATATTAAATGTTTGAAATTTTCAAGCTGAAACAATTCATTAGAAGAGCATTATATTCAAATTGTGTATGTTGGTACGTGTGTGTTTGTTTGTGTGTGTGTGTGTGTGTGTACTTGAAGACTGATAAATATGCAGTTTTTGTGTTACAATGTTGCTTGTCTGCTATTGTTATTACAAGCTATGAAATGTATGAGATGCTTCAAAAAATTCATTTTCTATTCTTTTTTTAAGGACCGGTGCAATAGATCCAAGGTGATTATTAATCTGCTAAGTGTGGCTTGACTGTGCATGCTCAATGACAACCATTTCCTCTGGACCTTCCACTCAGATGGACAAAATTATTAAAATTTGCTTGAGAAAGAAAGGCTGTATGAGGATTTGTTTTGGCTCATATGACCACCACTTTATGAAGTTGTTGCTGGCATGTATTAGGAAAAAAAAGTTTTGAAGTAGACCATCTTTTTTGTATCTGTATATGCTTTCTATGTGAACCACTGGCTATCACATTTGAACCAGCATGACATGTTGAGTTTCCTTGTTCTCATTTTATGACCACCATGCCTATTACATACTGTGAATTAGTCATTCAGTTAACCTGGCAGTTTCTACCATCAAGGAAGCAGTTTTGTATTGGTTTTATACAAAATCTACTTGTATTTTAGCATAGTTAAAGAAACCCATAATATATCAATCTGAGCCTATGATAGTCATGGGAATCTGCTCATACAAATATTTTTTCCTTTTTTTAGTTATGTTTAACGGAACTCCTTTAATTTTAGAACTACAGTACAGGTTTCTATATCTGTGCTGTAATTATGGATAAGTATAATTTATTGTATGTTCTACAATAAATAGTGCCAAGGGGTGGGCTGCTTAACACATTTTTCCTTTCTTAAAAATATTTTCTTAGAGTAAAAGCTATGTTATAGAAAGGCAAGCAGTCCATCAAAAAGCATACATAAAATAAATTCTACTACACTAAACACCAGTTCCCATTTGTCTCTATAAATCCTGAGGATGCTTACAAGCAGCAATCTACAAATATAGCCTATACACAAGCATTAGAACTCTTAGTAAAAAATTATTCTGCATACATTTTTGCAGCTGTATTTAAATTCAGTTCAATGAATTAAATACTATACACTTTTCCATCTCTTTTGCAGTTTCTCTAGTTCCCTTATATATGGGTGGGGGGGGGAGGAATAGCCCTCTGTAGGGGTATATAAAATGACTGAATTTGAACCCTTTCTAATTTTGAACCATTTCATTTTTATTCAAACATTATTTAGTATGTAAACCAGCTGTCTGACAGCCAAACAGACTGTTGGGTTGTTTTGGAAGGGTTTTAAACTTGACATAGATAGAATAGTTTGCACACAAAACTCTTCAAAATGAGATATTTGCTCTTGCTCTTTGGATTGAAAATAGTTTGAACTTACATGATGCCATACATCTGTAGGTTCTTGCATTAAATGAAAGCAAATTAGAAAACTGTATACAACTAAGCTAAATTTGTGGGCATTTGCTCATAGACTTGCTTTCCTCTCCACTAATTCCATTAAAGTATAATTGAAAAAGTAACTGGAGTAAAAATAATACATGTTTTTTTTAATAAATAGATGATTTTGTATGGAACTACATTCTACCTTTATTTATTTATGAGCAACCATTGTGTTTGAATATGATCACTATGCTGCTATTTATGATCTAATTGTTTTAAAGTATACTTATAGGAAATTTAATATAACAGTTCTGGAATGGAAGGCAAAAAGGAATTTATATATTTTCTTTCTAAAATTATTTATCTTTTTACTAAGTGTAACCAGACGGTTCTCCAGCAGGATGGCTGTAGAGTCCACTGGATGGGTTCTATGACAGTCTTCCCGCCCGACAGACTAGGTCAAAACTTTGGCTACACCCTTCCTTTGGGCGTGACTCCAGTTTTGACTTAGTCTTGTAGCCCAATAACTGCAGAAAATTTAGCTCCACAGATAGTCAGGAAACCTATTTTCTACCTTAATTAGCCAGTCATCTGAATTCTCAGGGAGCACAGGAGAATGATCCCGGTTACTAAATTGGAGCACCGAGCCTGTCCGTTTGAGCCTTGTGGTGAGCGCTGAGAAAAACCCTTTAACGTTAGCCTTGCTCTTTTCATTTAAAAAAAAAAATCAAACAACTGAGACACGCAGATTCCACGGCCCTCCGGAGCGACCGGCAGGTCTGCGGATCACCGTTTTTTCTACCAGAGAGGAAGCCTTACAGCCCTTCTCGTCGGGAAAGAGCCCTTTCCCCCTCAGCTGCAGTGCGAAGGGCCCCGCGATCTCCGGAGCACCAGGCAGATCCGCGGATCACTCTCCTCCGCAAATTCCTGCGTTGTCAGTTTAAAAGGGGGATTTTTCTTGACTCCCCCCTCCACTCTTGAGACCAATCTTCAATTTGCCTCAGCGGGGTTACCAAGAGCCTCAAATCACCATTTTAGCCTCGTGGCTTTGGCAGTTGGCAGTTAGGGGGCGTGGCCTTCCCCTTCATCGCCATTTTGAGCATGCTTACTGCAGTAATCCATTTTAGGTGATTCAACCACTCGGAGTTTTTTGAGAGCAGGCTGATACTTATCTATATATAAAGAGATATATTTTAAAAGAAGAGAGAGAGGGAGAGCGAAGTTTCACTCCCTCGGGTCTTTTTTTTAACAGCCCATGCAATGGGGGACAATACTATAATTCCATCCAACCACCTCTCGCTTAACCTGTGATACTTCTAATAATTAACCTTGGTGAAGGAGTGTGAAGGAATTGTCAATTTCTCCCAGCTGTTCTTTAAGGTGGCCTTTTGTCACTGGCCTTACAGGGCCTTTTTTTCCCTTCAGAAAGGTACCTGTCTGTCCGGCCATTGTTTGTTTTCAGAGTCAGGCTTGCAGCCTTCATACTCTGCAATTTGATCTGCGTGTCAGTGTTTTCCCCCATTCCAGGTATTGCCTACTCGGGGTACCTGGACACAATGGCAGACAGTGTCTCGCATTCAGCTACACAGGGTCCCCAGTCACCCCCCCACAACAACAACAAAAGCGCAGATCCACAGAATCTGATGTGGGGGGGGGAGAAGAAGGCCAAAACAAAGCACCTTACCCAAAGGGGACCCTCTAAAACAGCTGAGCGAGAGGCCTCGAGGAGACATTTGGCTCTTGAAAGACAATTCTCCAGGGCCCAGAGAACCAGAACCAATGAGGCAAACATGGTTTCCCCTGCCCCATTGGTGGCCCCTATAACAGAACCTACTTCCCAGGAAGTGCTTAGATCTTGGTCTCCTCTGGGGGAAACTGAACAGATGGATTCCTCTCACTCCTCCTCACCAGTATCATCACCGGACCATACTCCCACTATAGCTGCGTCTAATGACAAAGCTCAGGAGGACATATGGTCCGCCCAATTTCAGGCATTCATGCAGGATGCCTTTTCTCAGTTTATGGCCTCTAAAGGTCAGATAACTTTTCAACTATCCCTTAAGGGACGAAATAAGGCTCTGGCTACAAATATCTCTGAGACCTCCTCTCAAATAGGAGAGGGGGAATCAATAGATCTGGACATGAATGACATGCCCCTTTCGGAGGATGAGGGGACCATTCCTGAGCAGGCAACAAACTCTAGCCTCTTTGATCCAGCTCTTCTCAAATCACTTTTAATGAAGGCAGTCTCTACGGTCAATCTAACCTCAGTTCAGGAGGAAAATCCTTCCACAAGTAAGGAGGCAAACCCTCTTTTTGCCAAAAAAGTAATACAGGACAAGTACATTCCCTGTCCAGAAGTTTTCCGCTCCTCTGTAGAGGAGCAATGGTTTTCCCTAGCAACTCCACCTACACCTAACAGTGTGGAGAGGAAACTATTTAATGTGTCTCCTTCCTTTTCAGACATGCTAGAGGTTCCCACAGCTTTATGCAATTACAAGACCATAATCAAATTTAACTTTAAATAAGCACATTATCAATTCAAGTATTCCTTCCAAATATATCGTAATTCTTTAATTTCATCATAAATCTTATTTATTCCTCCTTCCACTACTATCTCCCAGTTAAAATAAAATATTAATCTATCCTATACATATCTAATCCATCAATCAATCAGTTTCTTTAGGCTAACACAATAATATCAACCTTAAATCATTAAGTCCATTAGACAAGGTTCTAATTTCATCCAATTATCAGACCTAATAACATCCATATTATCAGATAAAACACATCATCTTATTAAAATAATATTCAATTCATTATTAGTTCAATCCCGATCTAGAACACCTCTTCAGTTTTTTTCATTCCATTATATAATAATTTTCATACATATAAATCTATTATTCCAAAACATACATTCTTACTTTATTTAATATATATATTCTAATAGTCACCCATTTTTCTTACTTCTAACACAAGAGCTTAATCCTTAGATCAATCCATAATTCTAAAATGCCTTAAATCCAGTATATATAATTTTAAGTTTCTATTTTCAGTCTTATTCTGGGCTTCTTTTTCTGCCAAGCAGGTTTCCACAACAACACTTCCCTTCCAACCGATGGGTCTCTCTTTGTTGCTTGTGATGCCATTTGAGGCAGTGATAAGCCTCCTATCCTCTGCATTTGACCTCTACTTCTCTTATTCTTGAAGCCTTGGTGCTTTAAAGGTTCAAATTTCAGTCTTTGCTTTTTCTGATCCTCAAAAATATAGATAAGATGCTTGTAAGGTGAAATAAGTTCCTCTGTATCCTCCCTGAAGTCATCTTTTAATGTATTTTGGTTTGTAGAATAGTCAGATATAGTCAAAAGGTCACTTTTAGAATTTAAGGAGGAATTTCAGGTTCTTAGTTCTGTAGTAATCTCTTTCATTGTAGCAAATTCCTCTTTAATCTTCCTTAATTCCTCTTCTGGTAGGTTTTGGTTTGCAGAATAAACAGATATGATCTGAAAGTCAGTTTGAGAGTTTGGGGTAGAGTTGACTCTTCATTCTGTAATAATCCCTTTTCTTATAGCACATATTTCTTCAGTAACCTCGTAAATCTTTTCCAGTATAAGCTTGCAATTTAAGTGAGAGTAAAATTTCTCCATTTTAAAAGTGGTTAAAGAAAATCCTTTCTTTATTTTATTTTTTAATGAAAGCTGTAATTAAACAGTGTCTACCCCCTCAGTTCCCACAGCTGCATCAAGTTATCTTTTCCAGGAATAGTTTGAAGGTCAGATCCTTCTCTCCAAAGACTAATCCAATATTGCAA